TGCACTTTAATTATCGTTACTCATAGCATACCATACCCAACATTAGTAAACCATCATGCAAATCATCCAATCAAGCTCCTAACTGTATGACAAAAAGTCGCTTATCTACCATTAACAATCATTGCAAATGAAGCAGTAGTGATGCATGCCCTAACCCACCACCTCCATATCACTCCAAAACCTAACCTCTCAAGCATGCTATCTATAAAGCCCCAACTGAAATGATCATATGTCTTCTCCATGTCCAGCTTGCATAACAACCCATCCCTCTTTCTAAATGCCAACTCATCTACCACTTTGTTGACAATTAAGGCAGCATCAAAGATTTGTCTATCATCCACAAAACATGTTGACCTTCTCCGATTACTTTATCCCAGACATTTGTCATTCTCCTACAAGAGCTTTAGCAATTAATTTATAGATACATCCAACCAGACTAATAGGTCTAAAGTTTTTGATATTATGAGCCCATTAATCTTGGCAATAAGCACCAAAAAAAAGAAAGAATTGAGAAATTTTACAGGAGTCTCTACTTCATGCAATTCTTGAAACGAATCAATTTATCCTTCTTCATAAAGTGCCAACACTCCTGAATGAAACCCGTGTTAAAACTATTTGGTTCAAGAGCCTTGTCTCCTTTACATAACATGAGACACTCATAAATTTCCTCTTCTAAGAACTCCTCCAAAGCCGCGCTCCTAGATTCATCCAAGATCCCTAAAATTCAACCCATCCAATTTTGGTCTCCAGCTCAGCTCCTCTTTATTATTATTATTTTTTTTAGATAAAGCTCAACTCCTCTTTATATGATCTATAAAAAATAACCTTTAGCCTCCTTCCTTAACTACTGATTCCCCTTTACAACTTTGTCATCAATTTCCATCAACTCCACTTAATTGTATCTTTTGCACTGGTTAGCCATGCAACAAAAGAATATTGTATTTTCGGTCGCCCTCCATCACCCATCTAGCTTGTGACTTTTGTTTTCAAGAAATCTCCTCCATCTAAAGTCTGGTGGCAACTTAAAATTTCAAAGACTCTCTCCTGGCTATGTCTTCAAATGTAGAACACCCCTCCCCTTCCTTTTTGTCAATCGCCTTGATCTCATCATAAAGTGGCTTTATCTCCCTTTCATATCTACTCTTTTCCTTTTTGTCAATCGCCAAGATCCTTTAACAAATGCAACTAGCATGCAATCCTTTTGCAACAATGATAAAGGTACCCCTTGAAGAAGACATGAGGCTTAGCTCAAAAGTGAAGCAAGAAACAATCCTCTACCTCAAAGAAGAAAGATTGGACAGGACTGTCGCCTAAAAGTTAGAATCTCAGTGTCACTTTTGGACTCTCACTGTTAGATTAATCATCTTTAAAACCTAAACTGTCCTTCATAGGTAGGAGTACTTTTAACAAGCAAATAATTTTTTGGGAAAGAAAATGTTATATTTTAACAGGCCATCAAAGGGATGCCACCCACATGCAAAAGAAGTTTGACAAATTATCAACAGAAAAGTATCAACAAGATGTCCAAAATCCTACCAATTGCTAAGAGGACGATCATTAAACAAAATATCCATGGTCTAGAACCAGTGATCTCCAAGAATAACCATCAGAAAGAGAGAAATTACCTTCTTCATAGCTTTCAGGCTCTAACCTAAATCACGAAATTGTCTTCTCACTCAGCTCAGCTTTTTGGCTTAGTCAATAGCAAAGATTTTCAATACTTCCGTCCAATATATATCTTTTCCAATTAATCACAAATAAGGAGGTATCCTCCTCGCTCATCCCTACTTTTTCACAGAGGATTTTGCATAATCAGCAAAGTAAACGTTCACAAACATATTCCTTGAAGATAAACTTGCCAGAACAGGCATACTTCAGGCTGCATGGTTCATTGTGTACAAAACCAATTGTATATGCCAGGAATAAATAAAGAACT